AAGCCCTAGCAGCTGATATAATCAGAATGTTCAACCTAGTCTGGGGAGGCCCTGGAAGGCTGCTCTGAGCCTCTTCAGATGATCACTTTGGATAATCAGGCTGAAATCTGATTATGTGGAGGGGGCAGAGAACTTTCCAAGGAGAGGAAACAACATGTGGAAGGTGGCATGTTGGACCAAGGTGCAAATCCCTGAAAGAAAGTCAGTGTGGCCAGAGCCATGGAAGGGGAACCACAGAAGGGGGTGGGGAGAGAGGCTGGCAGAAAGGAAGGCAGGTAGAGGGAGGGGCATTCATCGCCCTGCAGGAGGGACTCCATTCCACAGCCTAGGGACGAGAGGAAGTGTGGAAGGGACTCACCAGGTGGGATGTGATTGAAGGTGTGTCTGAAAAGATCACATTTATTGCTGAGTGTGCAATGGATTCTAGGAAGCTGTAAGGCAGAAGGGAGATGTGTTAAGAGGCCACTGCAGGTGTCCTGGTGAGAGATGGTGGTGTTGGCAGCAGAGAGGCAGCAGGAGATGGGAAGAAGAAAATGACAAATTCAAGAGAGACTTAGACAGAAAAATCTCCAGAATCTGCTAACTGTTATGGGGACCCTGCGAGAAGAGCAGGCATGGGGTGGGAAGAAAGGAGACGAATCTACAGTCATAAAAATGCTCTTGGCAGCCAGCAATCCCCACCCTGTTAATTTACAGATGGGAAACTGAGCTGCTTAAAAGCAGTGTCTTTCCCAAGATAGCACACTGAGGCCATGGCCAAGCCAGGCCAAAATTCAGGTCCCGTGTGAATGACTATGAGGCATCAGTTATAATCCAGCCAAGACAGAAAACTTCATTCATTCATTTATTTGTTCATTCATTCAATAAGCATTTTTTAATTGGATAAATATATCCCAGTTCCTGCCCTCAAGGAGTTTTTGGTGGAGGAGACAGACACATCCACCTGCCACGGTAACCCAGAGTGGGTAAGTGTACCGGGGGGGTTCGTCATAGCTGCAGGAAGTACAGAGAGAGAAGCACAAATTGTGCTTGAGAGGGTTGAAAGGTAGGGAGGGATCTCGAGAGACTTCATGAAGGAGATGCTTTGTGACTTGAATCTCTAGGTATGAGTTTATTCATTGTCCAAAGGGGAGAAAGAAAACCAGGCATCAGGAATAGGATGTGCAAAGGGCCACAGGCATGAAAGTGCATTGGACATATTCAGGAACTGAAGTATTGGTTGGAATGGAGTAAGTGCCATGAAGCAGGAGTGGCCCGAGGGTCCGGGTCAGATGACACACTCTGGGGGGTGGACCTCAGTTCTCAGGCAAGCCTGAGACCCACCACTTAGAGCCCCAACATCAGCTCTGTAGGTGATGGTTTTTGTTGTTGCTGCTGCTGCTGTTGTTGCTGTTGTTGTTTTGTTGTTGTCGTTAACTGGAGGCCTCCTTTTGCACAGCAAAACACTGACATCCCCCATAATACAAAAACATGTGATGTTCAATAGTTTTACCCACATGTTAACTGTTAAGTAGCCTTGCTTAACCAAGAGGTAGTGTAGGGTCCCAGGTAAAAATGGGGCTCTGGAGTAAGCCTCCCTGGGTGCAAACCCCAACTCCATGTGATCCTGAGAGACTCATCCCACTATCTTGGCTTTCTCCTCTCTAAAATAGGATCAGTCTGGGACTGGGAAAATTAACATATGCAAAGTGCTTAGAAGGGTACCTGCCACATAGTAGGCACTCATCAAATATGAGCCACACTTATTGATTGCATACCAACCTTGTAAGAAAGATGTGATTACTATTACCATCTCCATGTTAAAGATGAGTAATCTGAGGCTTACATAGGATGAACAGGACCAAGGCTTCACAGAAGTTGGAAGTCGGCAGAGGTGTCATTGGAACCTCGGTCCTGAACTCTTAACCACCCTGCTACATTGCATCTGATCTCAGCCTCAAGGTCAAGGCTACACACAGGTGCTTCAAAACCAGAGAATCCAGTTTCAAGCTGGAAAATGGTCTAATCACTTCCACCAAAGAGAAGCTGACATTGACAGGCACATCAGGGGAGGCCAGCTCTGTGTGTGGACCACTGCAGTTGTTCTCCTGGGCTGGGCACTGCTGTGGCAGAAACACAAGATCTGGAGTCAGGCAGCCATAGGTTCGAGTCCTAGCTCCTGGCTAGGGGACCTTGGACAAGGCACTGATAGTCCCAAGCCTCAGCTTACCCACCTATGCAGTAACATATTTGGTTAGCCAAAGTCAAAGGAATCTTCCAGCACTGCTGTGACCATTTAACTAATCAGAGTCTGTGAGGTCAGCCCAGGGAAAGGAAATGCTGTCTCTGGAGCCTCCGCTGATGTGTTCTGTGGCCACCTAACCTCTCTGAGACTCAATATACTCACCCAATAAATAGGCAGAATAAAAATAAGAGATGCCCTGCCTCCTTTCAGAGTTGCTGTGCATGCAAAGACCGCAGCTTTGGAGGCCAGAATTTCTGATGCTGATTCCCACATCTGTTCTTCCCAGCAGATGCCTTTGGGTAAGTCTGAGCCTTAGAGCCCTCATCTGTAATTCAGGAACAGGAATTCCAATTTTGTAGGCTCATTTGAGGATGTAAAGGTAACATGCACTTAGGATCTGGCACATAGTAGGCATGTGGTTAATAGTAATTAATGACAATGAAACCAACAAGAGCTAGAGTGTCTTCCTTTTTTTAGACAGAGTCTCACTCTGTTGCCCAGGGCTGGAGAACAGTGGCATGATCTCAGCTCCCCGCAATCTCCATCTCCCTGGTTCCTAGCAATTCTCCTGCCTCAGCCTCCCAAGTAGTTGGGATTACAGGTGCCCACCACCATGCCCAGCTAATTTTTGTATTTGTAGTAGAGATGGGATTTCGCCATGTTGGCCAGGCTGGTCTCAAACTCCTGACCTCATGTGATCTGCTCACCTCGACCTCCCAAATTTCTGGGATAAGTCTGAGCCTCTGTCCCCAGCTACTAGGGTGTCTTCTTTAGGCCAGGCAGGGTGCTGGCCTTATGCATTTTGAGCTTGTAGCATAACTAAGTTTATTAACACGAAGGGGTTTTCTATAAACTGTAAAGTCCAGGGCACACATACATGACCCCAGCAGAGGGATCATCAGATGTCCCCAGGGGCCTCCTTAGGAACAGAGACCATGTATAAGGAGGCCTTACAGTCACCACAGAGGCTGGGCGCATGCCTCTCATCCAAACATTTTCCATTCATTCGAATTTGAGACATTCACGACTCAGCAAAGGCATCTGAGGCTGATGACAGAGTCCCAGCCCGGCCGCTCCAGCAAGGTAGAGATGAAGCACCCGTTGAGTTCTTTCCAACTTCCAATGGCATGTAATGATGGCCTTTTCCTCCACTCATAAACCACATATGGAATTAATCACACCACTATCACAACAGACGAGGCCGGGTTTATTCACCAGAAACAATGACACGTTAAGAAAGCCGGGGCAGGAGAGGCACAGAAGGCTTTAACAAGCTTCTAGGTGGGATGTTTATTCCCCCCTCCCTTTCCACTTTATTGAATCTGGTCCTTGCTGATTTGGTTACAGCCTGTGATTTCAGTTTATGATTCAATAACCCATTTGAAAGCTTGTAAATAGCACGGTTCTGCTATCTGCTCCCTCCTCCCCAAGGGGACTGCCACTGAGGAAAGAGTGAGAGCTTGCTCCTTCTCACAGCTGGTGGGCATCCCTCAGAGGGACGTTTTGAGGATGGGGTCTCTGAGCAAAGTAGACCTGGGGTGGGGTCTTCATCATTAGACAAGGTAGGTCTAGGCTGAAGCATCATCTAGACAACAGGGACCCGCCAATCCAAATGAGGACGTCTGCCACTGCAGACATGACCACGTCTGGGCATATCTGATCCTCCCCACCAGACCCAGGGGCTGAGGACCCCACAGGCACAAGCTTCAACTCACCCTCTTAGAAACCCATGAAAGTGACCACAGCAGCTCTGGTTCACAGGTTCTATGAGTCTGCCCAGCCACACTTCATCTGCCACTTCCTCACCTCCCCTCACTCCCCAGTTCTCTGCTAATTGGCTAGCCTACTGGTCCCAAGACGAGGATGAGAGACACATGGAACGGAACCCCACCCCTAGACAAACTCAGTCTAAAGCAGATCTTCTGGCTGAGCTGCAGATGCATGTGTGAGCCCAGGCAAATAACAGATCAATAAGTTATTGATTATGTAAATCACTGAGTTTGGGGTTGCTTGTTTTGCAGCAATAACTAACTGATACATTATCTAGTGGGGACTTTTCAACTTTGGTAACTAAATGAGTGAGTGATAAAATGCATGATGCAGTTGCCTAGATCTTTGGGTTTGTACATTGAAGAGGTGTTAACAGGGGGAGCCTGTGCTTCTGTGTTTCTGTGGCTCAAATTCCTAGTGGAGAAGTTGAGGCATGGTTCTCTCCAGGGGAGCAGCATGGTCCATGCTGAAAGATCCATGCTGATCTTCACCCCATCCTGAGTTACCTTTTGACCTCAATGAGAGCAGTCTGGCGCCAAGAAGCTGAGCATGAGGGGAAGAGGAAGCTACGGTGTGAACAGCTGAACTAAACGTGTCTTCTAGACTCCCCTGCCTACAGGGAAAAGCCAAGTGCCAGGGAAGACCTTCAGGCTGGCATTACCCACCTCATGGCCTCATCTCCTGCAGCTCCACACTTCCTAAGATAAGATACACAATTTTCCTAAATGGTCAAAAAAAAAAAAAAATCATGCTTTTTCATGGATCCCTGCCTTTGTTCCTACCATCTCCCCTGTCTGGTGATCCCTGTTCTGTGTAGCCAGTGAATGAACTCCTATTCACACTGTAAAACCTGGCCAACAAAGCCCTCTGTGAGGCCTTCCCCACACTCAGCTCAGACATTCTTCTTCTGATACTGAAATAATTTAACTACACATGAGCCCACGCAGACCCCCCACGCAGACCCCAGGCCCCCAACTAGACTGTGAACTCCTCCAGAACATGCTCAATAAAGTGGAAGACAGCAATGAGTAAATGAGTGAGTAATTAGAGTGGAGACTTCTCCAACCAAGGAAGATCATTCCGTGAACATACAGTGGGCATTGGACTCAACAAATCCTGGGTTCACATCCAGACAACTGTGACTCCATGAAATCAGGTTAGTTTCGTTGTTTTTCGGGTGTCAGTTTCTCTACCTGTAAATTGGGACCGTAGAGTGATGATGTGATGACATACCAACCCCAGGAGAAAGGCTTGGTTCCTTCCGCCCGCCAGGTGACTCACAGTCTGCCTCCTCTTCTTAGAGTCCCTGCCTTTTTGACCTCTTTTCTGGTACCTCTCCCAGCAGTGAAAGATCCCAAGCATTGGAAATCAAAGAAGGCTAGAGCTCAGGCTTTGCTGAAGGCAAATTTCCTTCCCTGAAGAGGTAACAGTGAGCAGTGTAAATCAAAAATCATATTAATAATAATAACTCCCACTTATCAGACACCAATTAGGACTTCCTATTCTTCATCTTGCAACAGTCCTTCAGGGTAGACACTCTTAACATCCCCATTTTAAAGATGAGAACGCTGAGGCTCAGGGAGATGATGAGACCTGGTGAAATGGCTTTCCTGGGTCCCGTGCTCATCGCTCCATTCTCTAATTGGTCTGAGGATCTTTTACCTTTGACCCTGCATATCTGTGCTGCTGATCACTGGGATATTATTTTTTGATTTGGAAATGATCTCAATGAGTTTGTGGTTTGAGTTTCCCGGGCTTCTGGGCTCTGTTCTCTGGAGACCACAGGTTGGGGCATGAAATGCAAGATTCCAAAAACCTCCTGAGGTGTTTCTCTGTATGTTTGATGGGTTCTCTCCACTTCTAAGGTTCCACACTTAACAAACATTTTTTCAGCACCTAGTGTTTGCCAGGCTCTGTGCCCAGAGGGAGAGATGCTTACATAAATGACATTGTCATGCTCTTGAAAGCCGCCCTGTCTGATGGCCAAGGTAGCCATGAAGACAACTTCTGGAGCCCATTTATCTAAAGCCTGTAGTTAATGACACTTGGGAGTGAGGTCCCATTAAGGCATCATCTTGGTGCCATCTCCTATGAATGCTCATGGCTGCCTGGAGGCCCCAGGGCTCTGAAAGAAAGGATGCTACGATTGATTAGCAATGTCTGCCATGTGCATGGCTAGGAGAGTTCTAGCCTGTGTGCCAATTATCTGCCACCCCTGTTGGAGCAAATGCCACTTACTAGGTATGGCAGCCTGGCCAGTCAGTGGGGATAGAGAGAGCCATAGACAGTGAGAATCTCTCCAATCCTAATCTGAGCCTGAGAAATATGCCTCAGAGGAAGGAGGTATTCCTGCTCCTAGGGGAATCTAGAAGGCTTCCCTGAGGGACTGACAAGGGAGTTGAGCTTGATGGATAAGTAAGAGTTCAACATTGACATGTGGATTCGATTGACATATATTTAGCACCTACTGTATTCCATGTATTTTCCAGGTGGAGAAGATGGCCAGGAGGTCCCTCCAGGCAACCAGATCAGTCAAAGCAAATCTGTAAGGGACCTCACCAAAGCAGGTCTTCAATGCAGCATGGCAAGAGTAACCAGAGAAAGGAGGGTGAGGAAAATGGAGTGGAGGGGGTAGCTTATGAAGGTTCTGGGGTTTGGACTCGGACTTCCATCCCACAGAATGGGGCACCTGGGAGCAATGGGGGACATTGTACTTGAGAATAATTTCCCTGACTCCTTGCAGAGGGGGCACCAGCGAAGAGGCGGCTGCAGGGCTGAGGAATCTTCTTCCTGATTGTTCTCGGCCAGTCGGGAGAAGAGCGCTCCTGCAGCCGTGAGGATGCGCTGCTATTTTAAGCAACCTGCCAACAGCCTGCCTGCCTCCCCCGCTGCTGCCTTGACATGCTGCTCCTGACAGCGAGCCCGGTGTCAGCCCAGCAGACAGTGCTGGGCGGCTGGATGCAGACGCACTCCGGGCAGGTGACAGCTTGGGCACCCTGAGCTCCTGTCCCACCCTTAGCATCCAGCCTTGTTGGCACGCTAGCCTCCAGGAAGCGGAAGAGGACGCACCATCCGGCACAGCTCAGGCACTGGGCAGGCAGATTGGGTTCCCTGCCTGGTATTTCCTCCAAGCGTCACCGTGGTAAGACATCTCTCTTCTCAGAGCCTCAGTTCCTCATCTGTAAAATGGGTATGATGATGTAATAAAGGAGCCTACCTCACAGGGTGGTTGAGGTCTCTTCATGAAATCGAATATATAAGGCACTTTGCACATAGTAGACACCTGGTGAAAGTCAGAACATCTACATTAGCCACTGAATCCCATGGTCACCCTCCTCCCCTTGTCCTGCTTTGCTTCTCAACACCCGACATCATATGAGATATTTGTTGGACCCAGATAGTGAGGACTTTGAATCCCTGGCATCTCCAACAGCGCCTGGCACATAGTAGGTGCTCAGTAAACAGTTACTAAATAAGGGGGATGATCCTTGTTAAATTGCTTAACTTCTCTCAGTCTCAGTTTCTCATCTTGAAAGCATTTGTTCAACCAGATGACCATTCGTTCATTCATTCACTCATTCATTCAGTCATGAATCACTGAGCCTCTACTATAGGCCAAATACCATGTGAGGGTCCAAGAATGCAACATTGGGCAAAACCCACAGAACCTCTGCTTGGAGCATCGAGACTGGACCTGGATTCTCTGGTCAAGTTTTAAATTCTTAATTCTAAAAGTAGATCAAATAATGGACTATTTGACCTCAAAACAGGCCAAATTTTACCTGGCCTCCTTGACTTCCATAAAACAAGAGTCTGCTTTGTTTCTGTTGCTGACCACCACCAGATCTAGTGGTCAACCTGTCCAAGTGGGGCCAAGGCAGCATTTGATGGTGGAAGGCCAGGCACTGTCCCAGTGGTCTGTAGTTCCCAGAGATATCTATGTCCACCTATCCTGTTGGCAGGAGGTCATCAATTGTACCAGCATGTTCCAGAACATGTAATGCAGTGTCTGGGATCCGAGTGTGTCCTGACAACTCAGGTTGACCCAGAAACAGCAAGAAAGAGAGACATGAAACTCTGCCCACAGGGTGGGGCTGGGTGAGCGTGACTCTTCTCAAACATGTCCGGACCCTCAGAGGTTGGTCAGTCCTAGAGCAGATACCACCCTGATCCTGCCCAAGTGTATTTCTCAAAGTCGACTGAAGTCTAACTTCTCAAATAGAGCATCTAGCTCCAAAATTCAAACTTCTGCATTACCATTTAGTTTTATCTAGGGTGGTTCAGGAACAGCCTGGGTTCAAATCGTGACACTACCCCTAACCAGCTGTGTGGCCTCAGGCAAGTTACCTTACTTCTCTGTTCCTGTTTTTTCTTCTGTGAAACAGGGATAATAATAATACCTACTTTATTGGGTTATTAGGAGGACAAAATGAGTCAATAAGTGTAAAGCACTTAGACTAGTACTTGGTCCTGTAGACTTCAGTTAAGGATTTGCCATTTTGCTTTTTATTATCATTTGATGTGTAGGCTTCTCCTGTCATTTAACAAGGAGCCCACTCTGGAGACCAAAGGTACAAATATTTTTGCAAAAGTGGTATTTTCTTGGGGCAGTGGGGGCAGATTTCTTGATCTCCGAAAGGGATTGCACTACAGTCTCCTTATTGGTACCTACATCTTCACTTTCCTCTAGCAGTATTAGACATCTACAAGGTTGCCCTGGACTTATGGTGGGCAAAGTTTACATCCCCACCCGTTGATGCTGGATTTGGCCATGTGATTTGCTTTTGCCAGTGAGCTATTAGCAGACACAATGCAGACAGAGGCTGGAAATGCAGTTGCCCTTTTGCCATCAGGTAGCTCTGCCCCTCCAGCCTGGTCCCCAGAATGAGACACGGGGAATAGACACGACACAGACTGCAGCCTGCAGCCAGCAGCCAAGCCCCACTGAACACAGCTGAGATCAGCACAAGACTGGCCTACCTGCAGACCCTGGAACAAGAAAAATAAATGTGTGTTATTGTTGGCTACTGAAATGCTGAGGCTATTTGTTATGTGGTATTATCACGCTAATAGCTAACGGACATGTCCACCAATGCATTGCCATCACGGGGTTCTTGTGATGATTAAGAGATTATGCATGCAACGTGGTTAATACAATGCTGGACACATAGTGAGCCTTCAACTAACCTTAACTATTTTTCTGATTATTATTTTCATCATCATCATTACACCCTCCCACAGCTGGAGCCAAGGTTCTCCCCTCCTAACTTGAGGTCAAGTGCCCTCCAAGGACCAGGCACACACCCCCACCTGCTTTCCACCCTGCCTCTCCTTGATGTTCTGAAGAAATGAGAAAGAAGTGTTAAATTTGTTCTTGGCTACTTTTCCTTGCAACTCCCAGAGGCCCTGCTTACAAACTGAATCAGTTATCAGCTAGTTAGGCTGGCGGTCCCCGGAGGTGCCGCTTGAATACAGATAGGGACCCATGCATTATTCAGTGCGAAGACGGGGAGAAATGAGCAATGCGTCCAAAGCCAGAACAGCAGTGGCAGTAAGGGAATAATTAGCGAGCTGTCACTTGTCCCTGTCACTGTTTCCTCCCTTAACACATGAGGGAAAATAAAAAAATAAAAAAATATATATTTTTTTGTAAAAAAAAAAAAAAAAGGAAGAAGAAAAAAAGGCAGGGAAGATCATCTTGCTTCTCAAGGCAGCTGGTAGGTTAAAATGTGACACTAAAGAAACTCAAAGCCAGGGCTCTGGTTGAGCTCACAAAAGCCATGGCCTGAGGACCCTCCCCGCTCCCTCACCCCCACCTCCACCCCCACCCACCACCAATATTGTATCGAACTCCCCTTCCTGCCTGACGATTCACGAGTGCCGTCCCAGCCTTCCATTCAGATTTTCTGCACGTTTCCATAGCACTGGGAATTAATTTCTTCCCCCTGAGGAGGAGGTGGGGGCCAGGGAGGGGGTAAGGAGGGAGTAAATGTGAGGGACACAGCCACCAGGCCTGCAAAGGTTTGAGGTGACCTTCCAGGAGAAAACTGGGATGAAGTTGACAAGAGCTGCGCTTGGCTCGTTTGGGGACCGTGCAATTTGATTATTCATGAGTTTACGCACACAGAAAGAAATCATTTTGTTGCGTGACTCCTCATCGTTTCTTGTGGAAGCTATTTTTATTTATCTATTAATGTCTTGTTAGAATTGTGTGTGTGTGTGTGTGTGTGTGTGTGGTGGTGGTGTGTGCTGGTTTGTCACTTGGGGGCGTTGAGCCAGATGTGTGGAGGTCTGGGATGTGCTGAAGGTGAGGCCAAGTTTCTCAAAGACTTCCTCTCCCTTGGGAAAAAAATAGCAAAGATCGGGTGGGACTGGGGGGAAAAGCCTCTGAGTCTTTGCTTGTTTGATTCATGCATCTGTTTCCCATTGGAAATAAGCTGGTTACCTTTGGGTAGGACAGTTGCTTTCGGCAGTTCTGAGGGCTGTGAAACTCAACTCAGTGAGATGGGGAAAATGCATTGCATAAAAAGAGTCAGAAAGAGGTCGTAGGAGGAAGCAGGGCTTGTTGCAAAGGAGCACTAAGCTAGATGACACTGATGGCGGGGGGGTCTCCAGAATCCAGGTCCAAATGGGATGCAAGGTTGCCCTTGTTTGATTCCCAACTGTTGAAAAAGTCACCCCTGTTTATAAAAATAACTCAGCTTCCTTACTGCACAGTGAAGGTCACTCAGGGATAGATTTCCTTCTGAAACCCCAGAGATACAGAGAATGCTTTCATGAAGCTACCAGCCAAGACTTCGCAAGTCCATGGCAAGCATACCACTGCCCCTTTACCCAGTGCCCAAGCAGACATTGCTAGTCAATTCCAGAACACTCAACTCCCATACAGTCACCTAAGTCTCCCAGGCAGCCACTAGCGTGCAATCAGAGATGCTACTGGAATTGGAGCCATAAGAACTCTTACACTTCTTGCTATGGGAGTGTAAGAGGGTGGATTCTTAAGGGAGGAAGTCATCATGCCAAAACTTATGGAGCCGAACTGTACATTGAAAATATCATGAGCTCTGGATTAGAGAAACAAAGAGTGTGGACCTCATCGGGAGTCTCAGCAGCTGTGTGACCTTGGGGAAATCTCTCCATGGGTGAGGCCTCAGTGTTGACATCTAGGAAATGGGTCTAATAATACTAACTCATTGGGCAGCTAAGAGGATCCAATGAAACGCAGCAAACAAACACAGAGCTGCACGCCATATGAAGCCTGTCAACCTACCTCTCTTTTCAGACTCTTGACCCTCTTCATACGTGTTATTCCTTTAGCCTGGAATCTCCCCTGGCTAATATCTACCCAGGACATATGCCACCTCTCCCTTGGAGCCTTCAGAAGCTAACCCTTAGTTCCTTCAGGGTAAATTACTTTCCTCCCAGGCTCCTCTCTTCCCTATTTTCACACTTGCTACGTATGCTCAGAAGCAAATGACCAGTGTAATTTGCTATGTCTTTTCCTCACTAGATTAAAGATACAGGGAATAGGTAACTTCCCTGTCCCCAGCAGACAGCACAGAGGTTGACACATGGAAGGGGATCCAGTAAAGGTTTGTCAAATGAATAAATGAATTGCTATTGTGTGTCTCCAGGCAAATCTGGTCCCTCTCTGGTCCAGATGTCTGGCATTCAGCCCAAGCTTAGACTTAGAGGTGACCAGACTTTGTGCAGGAGGGTTACAGATGGGGCACAAGTTAGGGAGGGGATGCCACCTCTTCAGCCTCCTCCTTGGCTCTGTTACCAGTTCCCAGGTTCACAAAGCCAATACTAAAGGGGAAAATAGAGACAGGTTGACCCAGGAGAATGGTCTTTTTCTGCAATTATCAGCCCAGGGAGGTCTAGGATCTGCAGT